TCCATGAAATCAAAGGTAATATATATTCTATCTACCTCTTGTGTCAGCTAGCTCCTGCCTCAGTAATATTATGTAATAAACCGTCCCCATACTCAGTGCCTTAAATCCATAAGCATTTATTTAGTGCATGAGTTGGAGAGTTGGCAATTTTGGGTGGTTCACCTAGAGAGATTTCCTGGTATTTGACTGGGTTCACTTATATGTCAGATGGTCAAGTAGCTGCTGGCTAGGGTGACTTGGGTGACTGAGCTCTACTCTGGGTGTAGTTTGTTTTCCCAGACATTCTCATGGCAGTGACTGAGGCTCAAGAGAGCGAACCCCAGTGCATAGCCCATTGCAAACCTCTGCATGCCAGTGTCTGCTAGCACTCCATTGGCCAAAGCAATTCACATGGTGGAGGCTGATATCAAGGGGTAGAGCAGGTCGCTTTCCCATGGCGAGAGAACACTGCAAAGATACATCACAAAGTATATGGATAGAGGAGAATTGAGAGTTGAGCCATCCTTGCAGTATTTTATACCACTGGGTCAGCTGTGAGGGATACAGGGAATTTCTGAGTCCTGCCCCAAGGTAGGCATGGGAGTGAGAATTAATCCTGCACACAGGAGCTCAATTATATCAAGATTGCATTCATATTGAAAAATTCATTCAGTGCTTTGGTCCCCAGAATAGAGAATAAACCCATATAAGGAATTCATGTAATTCACTCTTTCTTTTTTTCTGCTCAGATAGGAAAGTGTTTCTGTCTAATGGAAAGTTGAAATGTGCAGGGTCATCTTTGTTTCTGAAGCGAAAATGGGGTATTGGATATCATTTAAGGTAATGTATTCTGGGAGTAACTGTTTTTAATATGAGTGTAGCAGTATGAAGGGTGACATTTCATGTAATCCTTTAGAGATATTAAAAAGTCAATTTAATATTTGGTGGAAATTGATTTACAATCAACAGTACAAAATATCTTCCCTCATTAACATTTTCCTTGTTGGTTATCTCTTGGCTTTAAGCATGCAAATTTCTATAATGTTTCAATATAATGTTTTTTGGTCAATATTTATATAGGAAAAAT